GAGGGCCGGGAGCAGGGGGCGGCTTCCCAGGGCGGGGTGTGCGCTCGGGTCCTCCCCGCGGCCTGCGCAGACGCGAGTCCAGCGAAGCACCGACTTGTGCTCGTGAAGGTGGAAGAAGTGGGATTAACATCTTTAACGGGCTCTTTTGAAATCTTACAAGTCAGTGGCCAGAAAAACCCAGAGCGTGCTAGCGGGGTCTCCCCACAAATCCCTCCCAACCCGCACCCTTCCTCTTCCGGAGAAGCTTCTCCGGAGGGTTCGTCCGGGTGCCTGGGCGCGGGGAGCACAACCGCGCGGGAGATGGGAGTCGGGGCAGTCCGAGCCCGGAGAACTTCTGTGCTGCTGGCACCGAGTGTCAGGGCTTCATTTACGCGGCTCGTTTTCATTGCTGTGAGCGTGTGCTTTGTATTCAGGTCTGCTGAGCTGCTGTGATACATATTATCTGTTTTTTCACGTGTCAGGCTACACCGCAGCCCCGGGTGCTGTGACTAACCTGTAGTTTAACATTCCCGCGTTTATCTTTATAGTGTTGATACTACGGGACTAGCCAGTTTGTGGACTTGGCCCCGCTCACCCCTTCAGGTGGGAAGTTTCCTTTTAGATAAACGTCTAGGAGCAGGTTACGAGAGACGAGAGTGCAGAGAGCCCTACGCTCCTGGTGAGTGTGTGGCCGCCCTTGGGGACTGGACGTGGAGGACCCTGTCCTCTGCTGTGGTCGCCAGCCCCGCCGATCAGGAGCCTCCCGGGCTTTCGCCTTCCCCCTAATTCCCCTGGTGCCATTTCCAGGACTCCTGTCGCACCCCGAGGGGGGGCAGGGAACCCTCCCTAGGCCCCTAGAACGGCGCCCCAGAGCCGGGCGGCTTGGCCAGGGCGCACAGCTCAAGGCCGTAGGTGAGCAGAGCGGCCCGCAGCTCAGCCGGGTTTGCCGTGGGACGAACGCCCAGTAGGTGGCAGCATCGCGCCGGTTGTCCCAAACCATCCAGGCGCAATTAAATAAACAGGGCTCCGGCTCTGGAGGGAGGGAGGGAAAGCCGTGCCTTCAAAACCCCGTCTGCGTGTTGGCAAACGACTTAAATATAAATACATGGGTTTTAATCGCGTGAAAAATCTTCCCAAGTGCTTGAAAATCTCAGCTAATTTTCCAACCCCTAAAAAACGCCTGAGTCTGCGGCTCCCAGGCCGTGGGTGGGCGGGGCGCAGAGGGCTCAGGTCTCTGCCCCGAGAGGGTTTAGGGCAGCCCCGAGCCCAAGGGAGCCTGGGTCCCCGGTCTGCGCTGCCAGCAGCGGTGGGGAGGCTGAGGAGGTATGGGCTTCGGACGAGGACGAGCTGCACTAAGTGGAGGGGCAGGGAACCCCCTTCCCTCCCCTCCTCGGGCTGGGCAGAGCCCTGGCAGGGAGCCGGAAGAGAGGAAGGCGCAGGCTTTTCCTGGATTAGTACGGGGAGCTGAGCCAGTGGGCCGCACCCTTCCACGCACTGTGTATGCGAGTCCCGATGTCCCCCAGGTCCTGGATGTTGTGTGTGACATAGGAGACAGGGCGAGGGCTGCAGCCTGGGACCTAAGGCTCCCTTTTGAGGGTGTGTGGTGTGGGTTGAGCTGGGGTCCAGGCCCAGCTCCTGCACCGCCAGACCCTCTCCTTTGCTTCCTGGCGCCCACCATCTAGCTGGTTTAAGTTTCATGAGATGGCGCCCCACTAATGTGACTGAGAGAAGGCAGACTTCGTCTGACTCACGCTGGACCCGCAGGGAGGGCGCTCAGTGGTCCTTGTGGGTTGTGGACTGGGTGGATCCGATTCTAAAGATGGAGCAGGGCCCCTATGGCGCCCCCCTGGCCAGGGCTGAGTAGACCTTTTCCCCTCTACCTTTTACCCTGGAACAGCTCTGGTTCAGTGACTGTGGCAGGAACACAGGAAGGAAGGGAAGGACTCCCTGCACCCTGAGGGAGGGGGCTGCTTTTAAGCCAAAAGAAGGGGCCAAGCCCTTCTTGATGACCCGGTCAGTATGGGAACAGAGCACGGTAGGGAGTGCATGGGGGAGGGTGGGAGGTAAAAGGAGCTGGTGAAGGTTGGTGGTCCCCAGAGGCCCGAGGAAGCACTTAGAGCAGGGAAGTTAGAGGAGGGCTTGGGGAGAGGCCTCTGAGGTTGCACTTATTTTGCAAGTTATTCATCTTTTTCTTTGTTCTAGTGGTGACGGGAAGTAGCACTGGGAGCGTGAAGGGTCCTCCTCAGCCTCCCTCAGCCCTGCGCCAGTGCGGACAGAGGTGCAGCCCTCAGGAAAAGACAAGGTGTGGATTCAGACCTTCCAGGCCTCCATTGCAGACAATGTTTGGGGTCCCATTTTGGTTACCCATAGCAACAGGAGTGCGTGTAAGCTAAGGCCTCTTTCAAAGGGAAACCATCTCTCCCAGGCTCAGCTTTAACCACGTGACTTCAGGACGATGCAGGTGCTCCTGAGAACCCTGCAAGGAGCTGGATAATCTGGGAAGGGATGTTCCTTGCTGCCTGGACCCAGTCAGTCTGCTGGCTGCTACGGATAAGGCAGGCGCCGGGGGCTGCCCTGCGCGCCCCAGATTTGAATGCCAAAACCCCCACCCCCAGTAGGTCAGAGGGCACTCGTACTTGGAGACTGAATCTGCACAGAGTAATTCAGGAAAAAAATGAAGTGTTCAAGGTGAGCCCTGATTGGAACTGACTGGAATGTCCTTACACAGGAAGGGGAGTTGGACACAGGCAGAGGCAGACACAGGGAGAAGAGAGCCATCTGCAGCTGAACCTGCCATGCTGATGTCTGCACACCAGACTTCCAGCCTCCGGACGTGCGTTGTCTAAACCCGTCTGTGGTGCACTGTCACAGCGACCCTAGCAGACACACGACCCAGACGAGACCGCAGCCGCCCAACCACAGCTGGAAAACCACTGCACCTTGGGACATTTTTCTGTCTAGTCAACTGGTGAGCTTTTGAAAGGCCCAGAAAATAGTTCAGCATTGCCTGGAAAATGGAATGGGGTAATGCGCAACTGAGCATGGGCCCCTCCCCTTGCACGTACGACTGCCTCATGGGGTTCACCACACAGAACTGGCTTCCCACACGTGTGTAAGCAGAAGCCCCCAACACAGGCTCACGCTTTGTACCCGAGGCCCCAGCATCTGCACATACATGCAGCCCACGCGCCGGCTGCACTTATTCTCAGCTCTAAGACAGACCTCCTTCCCGAACATTTTTGTGCATTGTGATCGTCGATCCTCAGCATCTGGCTGCTTATTCTTGGCAGGAGGTGCTACGCGGGCATTTTGAGGGCGAAAGTGAGACCCGTGCTGTCGTTCTCCAGGCAGCCTTGCTGTTCCGGCTTCAGCTCCTCACAGACCTTTGCAGCATTTCTTTCTTACTGTGGAATGGGTTCCGACGGCTCCCTGCTGGACTCCGCAGGACATTTGCATTGGTTGCTCCCCCGGGGCAGGTACTGGGCTTTGGGAGAGAGGAGTTGCCAGAGCCGGTGGAGAAGAAAGTACATCTCAGTCCCTGGGCTGAGGACCTCGCTCAGAGCCGCAGGCTAGGAGCTGCATTCTCCTCCAAGATGAAGCCTGGGAGGGAGCGAGCGGGGTGTTCCCTGGGGCTCCTGGCCACAGGAGCAGCTCCGCCCTAATAGAGGGTGATGTTGAGTTTACCACCTGTGGGTGGGGTGGAGTCACTTGGGACTCAGTATCTCGAGCCTGTCTGATGAGGACCACCCAGACTCGAGAGACAGTGGGAGAAGCTGGGCCAGAGGAGCTGAACAGAAAGAGCAGGTGGGACCCTGTGCTGCACCCAGGGCCTTAGGCAGCTGGTGGGATGGACGGGTTACGCGAGGGAGAGGATACAGGAAGCAGTGGCAGCCAGGATGTGAGCGGGGACCACAGCCTGCTGCGTCTACACGGGCATCACCAGGCCTTCCCCGAGACTGGCCAGGCTTTTGTTCCCATTGTACAGAGGACAAGTCGGTGACTTGCACGGAGACACATGAGGCTGCGTGAGCCGAGCGCTTGGGAGCTTTGACTCTGCATGGAGTGCTCTCCTCTGTCCCAAGCTCTGCAGA